CGATCATGAATGGAAAAGTGATCCAGCCACCGCGCTTGCTGCCTGGAGGATCGTCGCCAGAGCGCTGCGCTTCTGTGTCACCCGAGACTGAACCAGCCATGACAGAGAACAAGAGGAAGGAGGAGTTACTTTGCCTTGTGTGTGATGATGATACACTCACCTAAAAGCCTTAAAACTATATATAACCGTTAATACAGAACAATTACGTTGGTGCAATGATTTGGTAATAATCTTTGTTTGGTCCAAAAACTACCTACTCATATTCTGACTTTCTATCTACTGTTGTCGTTTCCCAATATCTGGTTGGTGAATGTAATAAACAATTAAAAAAGAATTTTATGGGATCTTTAATAGTAGTATCCACTACTCCATCAGAATAATGGAATCCAGTCCGAATAATGTTCTATAAATAATTTAATATACTCACCAAGTCACGACCACACGTTGTGTTCAAGATACTTTGAGTCACAAGGACTGACTCTGCCATGACAGAGCACTGAGGAATGATTTGTGTATGATATATACACTTATAGAATGATTTGTGCTACTGAAATGACTTTCCATAAAACACCTAACCCGGACCTATCCTCTGTTGTCGTTTTCTAGCATTAGGTTGTTGCCTCTTAAAGGAGTTTGATTCTTCCAAATGTGAATCAGAAGGAAAGGATAAATGGAATGTACTGCAAGTAACCTAATACAGTTGACATCTAATTTTTGATAAAAAAAATTGTAGCTCTTTTACTATTATTTATGTAATTCTGGGTTTGTACTCACAGGCAGGCCAATCGGCTCGCCTCGCTAGAAACCGTCCTATTTCATTTTTTGGTGTTTTTGTACCAGAATGGCTTGCCATACCAAACTCTTGTTTGGGTCACAAAAATACCATTTGAAGTAAAACAACAAAAAATCAGCTGATTACTTCTTGCATATCCTTGATACTAATTAAACATGAGCACATGCCTGTTAATTAAGACAACAGTAGCTTTTTCTTTTGTCACGAACGGTCTTCATTTATTAATTAAGTAAAACATGATTAGTATCTATAAACCAATAAGAATTACTACATGATAAGTTTCTATAAACCAAAGGAATAGAAGTGTCTATGAAAGAAAAACAAGATTTACGAACTGTTGCTATTACTAATTTGAATAACATGATTAGTATTTATAAACCAATTAGTAATAGACAGCAGTTTGCTATTACTAATTTCTGAGCTAATTCACTTTGGCATTGCAAAAATTTCCAACACAACACAAAAGTTAACAGGCATGTAAGATATTGATTCAAGACATGGAGGCGAATGTAAAAGAAAACTAAAACAAAGCATGTTGTATCTTAATTTGCAACATCTTTTGGATTCTTCTCTTGATCATCTTCCTTGAGGTTTGTATCGGTAAAACCAAGAGCAGACAAGAGAACAATGCCTGAAAAAAGAAAAACGTTTCAAATCTGGTGAACTTTGTGTATCAAAACATAGAAGAGAACTGATGAAAGATAAAGAGTCTTGGAGTTACAAGCAGAGAAATGAAAGCAGAAGCCGAAATAACAGGAATGTTTCCGAAGAAAGTATCGGCTAGAATGGCTACAACAACTGGGAAGATGCTGAGGCATCCATTGACAATATTTGAAATCTGAGCAGCAGATATGCTCTTGATGTTGAATTCCTCGATCAAGTTCATTACCCATCCATAAGAAGTCACCGAAATGCCTAACAATGTAGCTGCACTACATAGCTTTTCACAATCATCAACATTTGACGACAAAATTTAGACCAAAAACACTACTAACCCATCATGAACGGAAAAGTGATCCATCCACCGCGTTTGCAATCACCAGAGCTCCGAGCCTCTGTATCATCAGATACCGAACCAGCCATGACAGAAGAGAGTAAGATGAGAAATGATTTTAAAGAAAATATGTGTCAATGGTCATTATTAATCCATGAAAACCAGTTTCTGATACCTATTGATTAAAAAAAAAAAAATCCTAAGTTTTCAAGAATCACGGTTAACATCGATGTTCCAGGCAGCAAGTCCTTCACAAATGCCGTAAGTATGTTGGCAAGTCACCTTTGTGAATCCAAAACTTTAAGATATCTAAAAAAACAAAAAACCTCATAGTATTGTATAATTTTTATAATAATTTCGAATAATGTATATTCTGGTAGACTCTGTATATTATTTTAAGACTTTATTATTACGTTATTTGTATATACCGCTGGTGTACACCGGTTATATACAAAATAACATACAGAGTATATCTGTACAAGATGTACATTCATAAAAAATCAAAACTTTCTAAAAGACGCAGATGTGCGGGTAGACAAGATGGGATCCACCACATACAAGGTGGGATCCACCTAGACCTGTCGGCAAAACTACACAACAAAAGGACGACTTCTACTCAAACACATTATGGAGACTAAAGAAAAAAGAAGATTAGACAAGATATGACACAAAAGAAGACAAGACATTATCCAATAGATATGAAACAAGTATAAGCAAAAGCAGAGGCGAATATTGCTTCAATAATCGAAGACTCCCTCAGCTCCTCTATAAATAGCTGCTCCCTCATTCATCGAAGACACGAGCAATCTTCTGCATACAACTCTCTCTCTAAAATCTCTCTAAGAAAGTCTTTAGAACTTTCTTTAAATTTTAATTTTGTAATCGTTAAAAAAAAAAAATTTTATTTCTATAAAACTTTGTATTTTACTTTAAATCAATAAAAAATCACAAATTTTTATCATATATGACTCTTAGTATTTTCAAATTAAGCTCTTACATTTTTAT